GGGACACCCCCGCGGTTCCCGCGAACGCCTCCTTGAAGCGGGGTCCCCAGCGGAAGGCGGGCGTGCCCCCCAAAGCTCCGGGGTGCTCCGAGACGAGCTCCTCCCACAGCTGGAGGGCGGCCCTGATTGCGGGTGCCCGGGCAGGCTCTGCCGCTGCAGCCCTCCGGCCAGCCCTGAGGGCCGCCTCCCTCGCCGCGGGGCGCTCCTCGCATGCCTGGCACTTGACGTAGGTGCCCCAGGAGACCTCCGTGCCTCGGGCGTCGCGGTTGAGGAACTCCTCCCAGCCATTCATGACCGTGGCCTCCCTCCGAAGAGTCTGATGGAGGGCTCCCAGGCACGCATCCCCTCCCGCTTCTCCCGAGGTCGGTGTTCGGGGGCGGAGAGCGCGGGCGTGCCCCCGGTGGGTCAACATCCAGGCCTGAGGTGAGCCCTCCCCGGAGCGGGCTCCTTCCAGAAGGCGTGTGGTCACCTTCCCACCGTAGTCCATCATCACGACGTTTAGGACGACATCCTCCAGGAGGCGGAGGGGGAACACGACCAGGGCGCGGTAGTCCTTGTCGTGGTGTGGGGCAACCGCGTCGTGGATGAAGATCCGAAGGTCCGCCTCCCCGACCGCCAGCTTGGCCTCCGGAGGCCCCAGTGATTCTTCCGCCCGAACTGCCTGGTCCAGCTGCTCCGCTCTGGCCGTGAGCGCGCGCGCCCAGACCTCCGCGAGGCTGGGCGGCCCCCTTCCCTCACGGGCCCAGAGGGCGGCGCCCGCCGCGCTCAGGGCGATGCACTGTTTTCTCTCACAGTCCTCCTGGATGCCCAAGCGCTCCGCGAGGAGAGGGTCCTCTCTGAGGGGGGGGCGGTCGTGGAAGTCGAGCATGTCCCACTCCCCTCCATCCATTTGGAGGGCCCCCCGCCCCACCCCGTCCCCCGCGTCCGGGGCTTGGAGGAGCCGGGCGTGACCTCTGCGGTCGGGGGGGCGGACGCCCCCCCCCCAGGTGCCGCCAGGCTCGGGCGCGAGCCGATCGAGGCAGTCGGCGGCCTCCCGGACCAGCTTCCAGTTGGGTCCGTCCACGATCCTCCTGAGTACGGCGAGCACCCCTCCTGTCGCCGTCGAGGCCAGGTGCTCCTCCAGGAGGTGGTTCTTGACCGCGGTCTCCAGGTGCCGGGAGGGCCCCCCCTTGAGGAACTCCCGCACATCGGGGCGCGCGTTAATGGCGTGCATTCCGGCCTCCCGCGCCTCCTCCTCGGGGTCGTCCGGGTCTCCAACTGGGTTGAGGCGATGCGCCTTATGGTGGTTCTCGGTGAAGCCGAAGTCCGGACCGTTGCGGCACTGATCCAAGACGTCATCCCGCCCGGGGAGGGGGGTGAACCAGTCATATTCCCCCCTGGTCGGGTCCCAGGCCCGGACGTGCGTGGGTGGCTCGCCCCCCCGCCCGGTTGAGGGCCCCCCCTGGAGGGCGGCCAGCCGCGCCGGTTGATCCTGTTCCGCCACCACGGGCTGGTCCTTCCAGCCCCCTCGGCGCACCAGCTCCCCCATGAGTGGGGCCGGCAGTCCCCGAGCGGGTCCCGAGTCGCAGTGGGCGTGGGGGCAGACCCCCCCCCCCTCCCTCACACCCCCGGTGGCTGACGTAGTCCCAGCAAAGCAGGAGGCCCCCCTGGTCCCTGGGAGTAGCCCCCCGCGCCAGTGCCTTCCGCACCGCTCGGGCGTAATCCGGGGCTGTGGAGGGGGGGGGGCTCCCGCCACGGGGGCTGTCCCCTCCCCTTCCCCCTCGATCCCCGGTGAGGGACCTCCTGTCTGATCGAAGACGCCTACGGCGAATCACCGCCGCCCCCTGCCTTTGTGGAAGCGCCTATGTGGCCGAACGTTGAGGCCAGACCTGCCGAGCCATCGGACCATGTGTTCCCCGAATCGGTTTGGAAAGCCTTCGGGGAACACGTGAGCGCCTTGATGGTCATCGTCGCCGTCTTGGAGGCCTCTTGGGCGATCTTTCGGCGATCTTTGGGGGCTCTTGGGCCGCGTCGGGCCGTCGGAAGGCCGAAAAAAGGGAAATGCCCAAATCCATCAAAAACCTTGGGCAAATCAATGATTTTGGCATCTTTTGGCCATCCTGGAGGCCCTCTTGGGGGCCTCTTGGGCCCTTTTGGGCCAGCTTCGAGCGAACTTCGGCCATCTTGGTGGGTTCCTGGCACGTCTGACGCCGTCGGGAGCCGTTTTGGGGGCCTTTCTGGCCAACGGGGGACCCTCTTGGGGCGCTCCAGGGCCGTCTTGGAGGCCATCTTGGGCGTCTTGGAGGCCATCTTGGGCGTGTTGGAGGCCTCTTGGGCCCTCTTGGGGCCCTCTAGGGGCCATCTTGGAGGCCACTTGGGCCATCAGGGGCTCTCTTGGGGGCCTCTTGGGCGATCTTGGGGGCTTCTTGGGCCGTCTTGAGCCGTCGGAGAGCCGAAAAGGCGCAAATGCCAAAATCCTTCAAAAACCAAGGGAAAATCAATGATTTTGGCCTCTTCGGACTCTCCTGGAGGACCTCTTGGAGGCCTCTTGGGCCGTCTGGGAGGCCTCTGGGGGGCCTCTTGGGCCGTCTTGGGCCGTCTTGGACTCTCTTGGGCCGTTTTGGAGGCCGTCTTGGACCATCTCGGGCGGACTTGGAGGCCATCTTGGGCCATCTTCGCGATTTGTTGAGGATGTCCCGAGCGAAACGGCCGTTTTTGGGCACGGTGGCGGGACGGGCCGGAGCCCACTGGGGAGTTCTTTTGGAAAAAGAACCAAAACCAAAACCTGAAACATCCAGCACGCCGTGCACCCCTGCAAGCAGGGGGCGGCGGACCTTCCCCCGGCTCATCCCGCCGCGGCGTGCCGGCGGTGGTTTGGGCGGCGTGGAGGTAGCCACCCAGCATCCCCCCCTCCTCCGAAGTGGTGCTCTGGCTTCCCGCTCCGCCCCTTCCCGCCTCGAGCGGCGCGTCGGGGGCCGGGTTGCCCCCGCCAGCCCGGGCGGCCGCCTCGTTGAGCGCATCCAAGGCCTCCTGGGTAGGGGGAATCAGGTAGCGGATCTCGCCCTCTTCGTCGGCCAGGCAGGTGTGGCTCTCGTTCAGCACGAAGCCTCCCGGCGGCGCACTCGCCGAGCGGGGCTGCAGGGCTCGGCCTCCGGTGGCCCCTTCCCTCCCACGCGCGCGAAGGGGGGGGGGGCTCCGGCGACGCCTGCCTCGCGGCCGGCCCCACTTCGTCTGCTTCCGGGTGGGGGCTCAAGGCGGCGCCCCACTCCAGGGGGTCCACAGGCGGGCTTGATGCTGCCGCCTCCTCCCCCACAGGGAGGGCCTCCTCCTCGTCCACCTCCTGCGCTCCTCCGCTCGTGCGCGGGTAGGCGTAAAGAAGAGCGGGGCCGAGGAGGGGGGAGGGGCCCTCGGCGGGCGGCTCCCGATTGGCGTTCGGAGGGGGGCGCGGGAACGCGCCAGGCCCGAGGGGGGGTTCTTCCCACCCACGACCGCCCCTCGGACACACGGGCCCGGGCCCGGGGAGGGTTCCCCCGCCCCGAGACTGGCAGGGTCCGATCCTCCCCCGACGAAGGCGCGGGGCAACGATCCGGTGGTAGTACTCCGTGGGGTCCTCGACGACGAACGTGCGGGGGATCTTCACGCGGGCTCTCCCGCGCACATCCGGGGCTGTGGCATAGGCCGTCAGCTCCGGCAGCGCGGTTGGGTGGGGGCCCAGCTCGGCCTCCGCGGACCGGAGCTCGTCCCGCATCTTCGCCCACCAGTGCCACGTGAGCTCCTCCCAGACCTCCATCAAGTCGGCGAGGGATAGGTACTCCGGCCGGTCCTGATGTTCGCGCAGCAAGAACCGCAGGGCGGTGGTCCTGGGCAGTGAGTGCTCCTGCCCATAAGTCAGGGCGAACACCAGGATCTGCGTCTGGGCGGCCTCCGCCCACGTGCCAAGGTCTGCGGGGGCCGACGAGGGGGGCCCCCTCCTGTGTCCCTCCGCGGCGACGAGGGGCCCGGCGTCCGCGCCTCTTGCGACCGCGAAGTCGGCCACCGTGAGGGCGTTCGGGTCGGCGGGTCCCGCCTTAGGGGCACCCATCAGGCAGGCCGCCAGGCCATGCGCAATCCGGTTGCTCAGCGGGGGGGGCCAGCCGACCCCCTCCAGCAGGGCGAGGGCCCCCCGGCCATGTCCGCGCAGGGTCAAGTAGAGCTCCCGCCCAAGATGGGCAGGTCCCACGGCCACCTGGAAGGCGCCGCATCCCCGCGCGAGGTGGCATACCCTCCGCGCGGCCCCTTGGAGGTATATGAGGCCCCCCCCCCGTCCACTTCCCTCGCGGGGGGGCGGTGCGCCCGCAGGAGCGCGGGAACGGAGGAACCCTTCCGCTTCCTTTCTCCGGGGGCGGCGGCCTGAGCCGATTCGGCGGGGGTTCCCTCCACCGGCTGGAGGGCGCGGGGGCTCCCCCCCCGCCTCCACGGGGGCGTGGGGCGGGGGTCCTGGGGCTTCAGCGGCAGCTTGGGGGAGGCCCCCCGCGGTCGGAGGGCGAGGGCCCGTTCCGCGCCCCCTGCCCTTCCCCATTAGGCAAGTTGGGCAGTGACCTCCTCCAGCCGAGGACGCACCGAGGGGAGGGGGAGCGGATTTTCCAGGTGCCCCCGGGCCTGCTCCAGAATCGCGGTCCGCACTCGGTGTGGCTTCCGGCCCACGGCCGCCGCCGCCCCCAGCATCTTCGCCCCCGTCGGCTTGCCCGTGGCACCCGCCTGGAGGCACAGCCCCAGCTCCGTGCTGTTCGGCTCCATCACCGGCGTTCCCCCCGCCCGGCGCCCCGGGGCGTGGCCCCCCCCCAACCTCAGCAGCTCCTCCTTGCTTGAGGGCGTGTGGAGCAGGCGGGCGACGCGACCGCCTCGAGGGGGTGGGGAGGCAGATCTTCCCTCCGCGCGCAAGATGGGGCGCGGCTCCCCAAGGGCGTTGAACAGCGCTCCCCCTCCCCGAGCTTGCTGCCCGGGAGGGATGACCCGCGCGTAGGGGTGGGGGGGGCACTTGCAGGTCAGGAACTTCGCCCACTGCAGCAGGTCGGCCAGCGTGCAGGGCTTCCCCCCGCCCTCACTTGCTTCCCCCAGCTGGGCATAGGTGGCCCCCGTGATTTCCTGGGCGTCAAATGGGGGGCGGGAGGCGTTGAGGCGCACCTCGGAAGAGAGGCTCCAGGGTCCCACCGCCCACAGCGGGAACGTCAGCTCAACCTCCACTCCTGGCATCCAAATCCCCGCCCAGTCCTTCTTCCCTCCTCTCCCCCGCGCCTCTCCCCGCCCTATCCCTCGGGCAGTAGTGCAAGGGCGGGCGCCTTCCCCGGTGTCGGCGGGCTCGTAGAGGCGGATCAAGTACTTCCGTCCGACCGTGTCCTCCGCCTGGGTGGGGATGGTCAGGGGTGGCGTAGCCTTCCCCCCATTCACAGTCGCGGGGGCCTCCCCATCCCCTTCGGGGGTGCCTTCAGACACGAGTGCGCCCGGGACGCCGTGCGTCAGCTGGTGGCAGTCAGGCCCCACCGGCACGCCGGGGGCGGCCGCGGGGTTAGGGGGCACCTCCTCGGAGGCGGCCGGCTCCGCGGGCGGGGGGGAGGGAGGCTCCCCGGTTGCCCCCAGCGCGGGCTTCCCCTCCGCAGGGCCCGCAGCGGGGACCGCGGAGGGTTCGGCGGCTGGCCCGGCATCGCTTAGGCGTGCTGGGTCAGGGGGGGACTTGCCAGTGTCCGCCCTTCCCTCCCGCTCTCGAGCAGGCTGCGGAGAGGGGTTCGCGTGCCTGAGGCAGAGGCGCTTCCCACCGAACCCGGGTTCCCCAATGTGCCAGCAGCCTGGCTCCGAGCACTGGAGGCTCAGGCGGAGGTTGTGGTACTCCAGGCCGTGGTAGCGGCGCAGGCAGGCCATCGGTGCCCCTCCCCCGTTGCGCGGCCACCCCCGGGTGTCAGACGTGGGCCCGTCCTCGATGAGCAAAGGGGTGGGCTTGGGTCCCCTCCGATCCTCGCAAGTGCCATGCTTCTGGAGGCAACAATACCCTCCCTTCGCGTCCATCCAGCCCACTGCTTCGGCCATGCAGGGTTCCCAGTCGTCTTCCTCCTGCTGAGGTCCCCGGGGGTTCGCGGTGACCTGGCGCGGCCCCGGCCGGCGCAGGCGGGCCCCCCTCCGGCAGCAGCAACAACCCCGGGCCAAGAAGGAATGGGCGATGCGCTGGACCCCACCCCAGAATGCCCTCCAGAGGGCGCGGAAGCCGGCCAGGAAGGGGCTCTGCAGGTCCCTGTCCTCGGTGAGGTCGAGGATGGCCTTGGCGTCGACCGCGGTATACTTCCGGAAGTGCATGGCGAAGGCGTCCACGCGGGGACAGCCGCCCACGGGTCCCGCCCTGCAGAGGTGGACCACCTTGGTGTCCGCGCCCTTCAGGCGGCGTCGGAGGTCAGGGTCCGTGCAGTCATGCGCCCGGGCGTACGGGAAGTCCTGGCCCGCCCGCTTCTCCTTCTGGATGGGGTCACCGCACTGCCCTCGATCCAGGCGTGCCCGCTGGCCCCCGACTTCGGCCGCGAGGTGGTTGGGCAGCCTCGGGGGCTGGTCGCCCCTCCCTCGGATGATGTCCTTGAAGAAGTCGTCGTCCACGGGTTGGGCATCAGGCCCCCTCCAGTCGAGATCGAGGAGGAACCGGCGGTTGTCCCCCACCCGGGTGCAGAAATCGCGGAAGGTGGGGGAGCGCCTCAGACGGCGGTAGAACGAGAAAAAGGGGCGGGCCAGGTGGTCGAGGAGGAGGGCCAGAAAGCAGATCCCCATGGCGCCCAGGTAGAAGGAGCCCAGCACGTACACGCCTACCTTAAAGCTCACCCACCTTTCCCCCACGAAGACGGTCAGGCCGGCATCCAGCCATCCGTAGGACCACGCGATGAGGCGGAAGAAGAAGTTGGGGCTAGGGACGCTCCGGACCTCCAGCACCACTTCCCGGCGGCGGCCGGCAAACCAGTGGTTCTCCCACCAGGGGGTCTCGTCCGCCTCCTCCCGCCCCTCCTCCGCGGGGGTGGGAGAGGCCCACTTCAGCCATTCCACGAACTCCTCCGCGGGGATTTGCTTGGACCAAGGTAGCCCGTCCCCCGGCTGCGGAGCGGGGGAGGCGTGCCCCCCGCGGAGGGCCGAACGCGGCGGGGGGACGGTTCCCGAGCCTGGCCCCGCAGGCGCGGGGGGTTCGGCGGGGGCGGAGAAGCTCCACCAGAACGGGGTCGGCGTCCCACCTGGGGTGTCCTCCGGCGGGGTCGGCGAAGGCGTCCTCACTTCGGCGGGACTCACCGCCGGTGTGGCAGACGGGGGGGCTGGCGTGCGGGCCCACCCAGGGGAGTCGCCCCAGCGTCCGGGCGGCGCGTCCACGCTTGTGGGGCTGGCCTGCGGCGATGCCGGGGCGAACGCGAACGACGCGAGTTCCCCCCACCAGAGGGGGGTCGGCGTGCCACCCGGGGCGCTGCCTTGGGCCGAGCCTCCCGCCCTGGCGGACCCCCCCGGGATGGGGGAGAGGATGGGGGTCAAAGTAGGGGCTGCGAGGTTGGATGAGGTGGGGAAGTCCCCTCCCTCCCCGAGAGATAGCTCGGGGTGGTTCCCGGCCTGAGCGGCGGCCGGGTCTGGGGCTGTGGGGGCGCCCGGCCCAAGGGCCCCCTGTCGAGGGGGAGACTGCTCCTTGGGGTCGCCTCCCGGATAATGCTCTAGTGGATCAGGTGGGGCGTCATCCAGCCCGCAGGTGATAGGGTCCCGTGGTAGCCAAACGGGGTGCCCGTATCCCCTCCGCGCCCCGTGGGGCGGGTGGGTCCCTGCGGCGAGACGGCCCACTCCACAGAGGACCGCGGCGGCCGAGATGAGCGGGACCGCCAAGCAAGCGAGGCCAAACATGAGTTAAGGGGGTGCACCCCCTCCGCAAAAAGCGCTGCTTAACCTAAACAGCTGCGGGAGCAGGGAGGAGGAGGGGCGACAGAGCACTACGGCCAGGGGGGGATAAAACCGTTTAGGCGCATGCCAAACGAAACCAGTTGATGTGTGTGGGAGGCCCCCGCCTCAGGGGCTGTGGTGCGTCACGTTGGGCTCGCGGTGCTCAACCAGGCGTGCGCGGCGTAGCGCTGGGCGGGCGTCTCGCTCGGGCGGCGACCCACAAGCCAGTCTGAGCGCCACTTTTGCATTGTCCATCCCTGCTCCCAAAATTAGCCTGGCGAAGGACCCAACCAGATGCAGTTGTGAGCACCGTCGTTGTATGCAACGCATTTAATGTATATATATATATATATATATATATATATATGAGGTATTCGGAGGAGCTCCCTATGGAGCCACGAATAGTGTGAAGGTTGTGCCGAAATTTGTCTGGTGGGCGCATGCGAAAGCAGCCACTGGGGCCGTCGGTGGAATTCCCTATGGGGCCACGAAGCGCGCGAGAGGTGTCCGAAATAGGCGCGGTGGGCGCATGCGAACGCAGCCGTTGGGGCCGTCGGTGGAACTCCCCATCGTGCCGCGAGGCGTGTGAGGGATGTGCCGACATGGGTGCGGTGGGCGCATGCGAACGCAGCCACTGGCGCCTCCGGTGGAGCTCCCTGTGGGGCCTCGAAACGTGTGAGGGATGTGCCGGAATGGGCGTGGGTGACGCATGCGGGCGGTGGCACAGGGGCCTTCGGTGGAGCTCCCTCGGGGGCCACGAAACGTGTGAGGGATGTGCCGAAATGGGTGTGCGTGACGCATGCGGGCGGTGGCACTGGAGCCTTCTGTGGACCTCCCTATGGGGCCACGAAACGTTAGTGTTGTGCCGGAATGGGTGTGCGTGACGCCTGTGGGGCCTTCGGTTGCACTCTCTCTATGCGGTCACGAAACGCGTGAGTGGTGTGCCGAAATGGGTTTGCGTGACGCATGCGGGCGGTGGCACTGGGGCCTTCGGTGGAGCTCCCTGTGGGGCCTCGAAACGTGTGAAGTGCCGGAATGGGCGTGGGTGACGCGTGCGGGCGGTGGCACTGGAGCCCTCGGTGGAGCTCCCTATGAAGCCACGAAGCGAGTGAGGGGTGTGCCGAAATTGGTGTGCGTGACGCATGCGGGCGGTGGAATGGGGGTCTTCCGGTGAGCTCCCTGTGCGGCCACGAAATGTGTGAGGGGTGTGCCGAAACGGGTGTGCGTGACGCATGCGGGCGGTGGCACTGGGGCCTCCGGTGGAGCTCCCTATGGGGCAACGAAGCGTCTGAGGGATGTGCCGAAATGGGTGTGCGTGACCCATGCGGGCGGTGGCACTGGAGCCTTCGGTGGACTGTGGGGCCACGCAGCGTGTGAGGGGTGTGCCGAAATGGGTGTGGGTGACGCCTGCGGACGGTGGCACTGGAGCCTTCGGTGGAGCTCCCTATGGGGCCACGAAACGTGTGAGGGGTGTGCCGAAATAGGTGTGCGTCACGCATGCGAGCGGTGGCACTGGGGCCTTCGGTGGAGCTCCTTATGGGGCCACGAAGCGTGTGAAGGGTGTGCTGAAACGGGTGATGATGACGATGACGATGATGATGGAGGAGGGAGGAGGAGGGGGAGGAGGAGGAAGGAAGGAAGGAACGCGGGGACCGTCTCTTCAAGTCGAGGACCCAACACCACAGGATGGCTGGGAAAACACGCTTGCCGGCTTGCCCCCTCGCTGGTGGGGCGGAGCTCGTCTCATAGCTCATAGCCGAAGCGAGCCACACCTCGGCCTCTCCCTCTTCCTCCTGATCCTCCACGTCCTCTCCTCTTCAGCCTCGTTATCCTCCGCCTCCGCCTCCCCCTCCTCTTCCTGCTGCTGCTCCTCCTCCTCCTCCTCCTCCTCCTCCTCCTCCTCCTCCGCATGCTCCTCGTCATCATCCTGCATGTCCTCATTTCATTTCTTCGAAGCAGCGGCGCCTTCTCGATTGTTTCACTGGAGCACGACACGGGCACCACGCCGAGCTCCTGCAAGACGCCGCGCAGTGACTCGGCAGACAATCTTGCTAGCCTTAGGGGACGGGGCTGATAATGATTGATAATCCATATCCAACTCCTCCAGCATGATACTGCCACTGCATGCTACTGCCGCGCCGCTGAAGCAAACCACTCCAACATGATCCCAAGACCCCACCCCTTAGACCAGGTGAGTCCGAAAGGCTCTTGGGGGACTTACAGGCCTCCAAGAGACCTTAAGACGCGCCCCCATTGAGCCGCAAACGCCTGGATCGCCTCCAGAAAGATCCCGAATAGCCCCAAATGTCCCCGCGGCCACCGAAGCGCGAGCTAAGCGCAATGAAGACATAGACCGAAACTAACATTATACGTTCGCCCTCGCATGGAATTCGTCACTGCCCTTCGCTTTCGCCCCTGCCTTTTCCGCTTCTCTCGCCCGAACATGATTTTCTCAAGGTCGGCCGAACCGACCGTGAAGAGTGCCCTCGCCGCGTGAACAGCTGGCACCGTGCCAGCGGCACGTTGTGGCGTGTCAGGAATGCCCCTCGGTTGTCTGTTTAAGGTGTCCGACCTCAAGAATCAGATATTTCATCAGAATTGGCTGCAGTCCGCCCCAAGACCGTGCAAAGACAGACCTCATTAGGACGCCCCTGGAGGGTCCCAAGAGGACGCCGAGGAGGCCCCCAATAAGCACAAAGAATGGTGATGGATGAGGTGACTGACAAATGCTAGCAAGACTTCAAAAGCCCACGACGACCCAAGAGGCCACCACGATCGCCCTCAGAACGGTCTGTAAGAGGGGGCGGCCCAAGAGGGCCCCCCGACGACCCAAGAGAGCTCAAGCTACTGCCCAAGATGCCCTCAAGACAGCCAAGATGGCCCCAAAAAGGGTCGAAAGAGGGGGAAACCGAACTTGCCCTGGGGGCCGTTCCTGCTAAGATGACCCCAAACACGAAGCACGCCCAACAGACTCCCAAGAAGGCACCCACCAGCACACCAACACTGCACGCGTGCAGGTCCAGAGACCTACACCGCAGAGGAGGGGCACAGCAGATTCAAGACACGAGGACGTCGACGGTGATTTCTGACACCGCGTGGGTTGTACCACCGAGACGGCCCCAATATGTAAACATCGTCGCAGTCCCTTCGGCGGGAAACGTAGATTTGCGGTACACTCGCCAGTTGTGCAACGTCCAGAAGACTCAAGAGGCCCCCATGATCGCCCGTACACTGCCCAAGAGGCTCCCAAGAGGGCCCCCAAACCGCCCCAAAGGCATGAACACGACCACATAGACATCCAAAACTGCCCAAGAGGCCCCCCAAACCGGCTCCCCAAGGGGGTTCAGATGAGGGACCCTAACGGATAGTTCGAGCCTTCGGCCCCGAGAGGCCCCCAGGAGGCCCCAGGAGGCCCCCAGGAGGCCCCCAAGAAACCCCCTTCAGGCCGAGAAGGACACAAACATACCGCCAAAAGGCCCCCGAGGGGCCTCCCAAGAGACCGCAAGAAGCACACGAAGAGGCGTCTTGTCCACGACCAAGCTTGGCCCCAAAATGCCCCAAGAAGCCATCGAGACGACCCGTCCTCGTCTTCCTCCTCCTCTCTTCCTCCTCCTCATGTTTCCCTCCCTCCTTCTCCTTCTCGCCACGAGCGAACAAACATATAGCGCCAGTCATTCAACATGAGTCGCTGGATGTCGCTCCAAGATACCAACATATAGCTTCAACCAAACAATGTGAGTCGATGGATGCCGCTCCAAGATGACCAAGATAGCGTCCAGACGGCCTCAAACGCACCCAAGATTTTCCAAGATGCCATCAACACCACTCCCAAAAACCAACCAAGAGGCAGAAATTCTAGATGTCCCGTGCTTCGTTCAAAGCTTTCCGAGTTCTTGACTTCTCGGCGACCGATGCTGTAATACGGCCCAAGAAGCCCCTAAGATTGCCCCAATGACCCCAACAGTCGCCCTAGAAGCCTCCAAACTGCTCCCCAGAGGCTCCCGAGAGCCCTCCGAAGAGACCCCAAGAAGCATACGTGAGGATTCTGACCCACAACCCAGGTACGTCTCGAAACTCTGCTGGAGCTCTCTTGAGCCATCTTGGCACCCTCTGGGGCAGTCGATCGGCTCTCTCCGACAGGGTGGAAGCCACGCATCAAAAGATCTCCGAAGATTTTCTTGCCAACCCGGCCGTTCCCCCTGGGCACGACCACACCACCGCGCAGCCACAGTGATGCGAAACGGGCCAGCGGAATGAGCGAGGCGATTAAACGATCAAACCCACAAACGCGCGAGGCTGCCGTGCGACCAATCCAGCTCGTGCAGGTCAGTGACGGCGAGCCGGCGGCAACAAGCACAGGAGGCGGCGGAAGCGGAGGCAGACGGACGGAAAAGGAGGAGGAGGAGGAGGAGGATGAGGAGGAGGAGCGGTCTGCCAAGCTTAGGTGACAAGCAGGGCCGACTGACGCTGCAACGGCCGCGAAAGTCAGCTCGGGCCGCTACAGGGGGGGCAGCGACGGCGCGTCCCCAAACCCTGGCTACACAAAGCGTCGGACGACAACACACAAGCAAGTTAGAGATGAACGACTCAGACCCCGATCCAAGACCTAACTGCCAGTCAATGGCGGCATCGTATGCCGACATGACCGCCGCGATTCTCCATACTGCGGGCGGCTCTGAAACCCTCGACTGAGACCCCCCTTCCAGTAGTGGTCATGCCGTCATGCCAACAGCTTCGCCGAGTCCCTCTGATCCTTTCAGGATCCTCGTCGCGCTGGTCCTTTCCGCCCCTGTCTCTCTCTCTCTCTCTCTCTCTCTCTTCTTCTCTCTCTCTATATATAGGTATGCAGATATATCCTCCCGGACTCTTCACTCACTCACTCACTCACTCACTCACTCATCCTCTCTCTCTCTCTATGTTTCCCTCTCTCTCTCAATATACATTTCTTTATGTATTTCCTTCAAATGTCCCTACAAACTATTCTCTTCTATCCCCTCTTGTACCCTCCCCCACCCTCCCTCCCGATCTTACGTCCCTCTTCACTGCGACGACGGCAAGAAGGACAGAACTACTTATAGCGAATGCTGGGAATCGCTGAGAACTGTCGGATCTGGAGGGTGTAACTCTCGGGCGTCGCAGTCATAACAAAACGTCCGTTCTGGAATGCTCGGAGAGGGTTGGGAAGCGCTCCAGAACGCTCTGGAATGGATTGTCTTTTTCTCAGGCCTGCCAGACTAAATCCCTCCCCCCTGACCCCACCCCCCCTCCTGAGATTGGAGTCCCAGTGCAAGGCGCCTAACTCCTGAAGGGCCCACCACGACCGAGTCCTCGACGGCCAGCGAATCGGTGCTCTTGGCATGATTCGGCATCTCCTGCGACCCACACCGGCGTAACAACGAGCGACGGGGGGACTTCGCATAGTTTTGCAGGCGTCCTGGGACAGCAGCCGCCCAGGCTTATCAAGGCCTCCCTCCACCGATGCCCTCTTCTTGCTGCAGCATGCGTCGGGGGGGGGGGCGTTGGCGCCCGTAGTCTACAAAGCGGCACGCCTAGTACCGTCCTGCCCCAACACGAAGTCAGGCGTTTTTTTTCAGAAACGGAGCACTGAAATCCCGCCCCAGCCCTGTAGCAACCTTTCCATCGTGATTCGCGGGCTAAGGCCACGCCGTCTACCGCAAGTGGTTACGACCCCTCCTGGACAAAACGTCGAGGCGGCCCGCCCTACCCCTTGCAGCCAGGAGAACGGGAGTGCACGGTCTAAGTAAGGCGTGCCAGCCGTCCGATTGTGGCGGGCCCGCGGGAACGTCACGGGGATCAGCCATGGGGGTTCACCACGATTCTGCAGCAGCATCTGAAACGCGAAGACCGTAGCCGCTGAACAGGAAGGCGACGACAAAAGGTCACGGGCACTGGTCTCACATGCGACACTCCGTTGCGCGAGAGAGGGCGGGGTGGGCAACAGAGGCGCAACGCTGCAACAAAGAGTCATCGTCCCGAATGCCCTGAGCTCCCCGCGCAGGTCCTTTTGCTGGAGAACCCGCTGGCTCCTCAAGCTCTTCCGCTTTGCCATCTGCACTGGGGCCTGGAAGATTGCGAGGACCAAGAGGAAAGAGGAGAGGGATGTAGAAGCGAAATGATGGAACATGACCACGCATGGAAAGACAACGGCGGCAACGATCGCGAAGACAAGCGAACAGAAGCATACCAGGCGAAGGCTTCGTGGGGACTCTGTGTGGGCAGGGAATGAAACTCACCAGACAACGCAATAATAATTTCCTATGGAGGGGAGGGTCGTGAAGGCAAGGCAACAATACACAACGCTGAGGTGGCGGTTCGAAGAGACGACCCCGTATGCTGCATGTACTATATGACATGTTCAATGTTGAGCGTGTGGGTATACATGGCTGGGTACGTGGACGCGCGTGAATACGAGTGGCTAGGTATGAATGAATAGTTGTGAACAGCTCTGGGAGAGCCAACACGTGATATACACTCTCCATTGTGATGGCGACCAGGTTCTGGAAAAGGATGCGTGGACCCCCAAACCGATCATGATGCACCCGACGTGACGACGGTATGGACGCGAAATTGTCCGTTTGAACACATCATGGTCGCCCCTGCCTCTGCCCCTCAAGTTCCCCACGGAGGCCTCCGTACCATGCCTGTTGCATCGCGATGGCGATGTGACTCTTTTTTAAAGGGGTGTATACATATATATATATAGAGAGAGAGAGAGAGAGAGAGAGACCAAAACACAACAACAACACTAACAACAACACAACAACACCATAAATAGAGAGAGAGAGAGAACAACACAAATATAACGAGCAATAGACAGACATGCATGTCGTGCTGGACACTTACTCGCCGCCCTATGTGAAAATGAATGTCCTTGAATTCAAAGCCCCCCTTGTGTCCCCACGGGTCCCCTTGGCGTAGGGGGGGGGAACTCTGGCACCCGAGAGAGGAAACAGAGAAAAAGAGAAAGAGTGAGAAAGAGAGAGAGAGAGAGAAAGAAACATAAAGAGAAAGAGAGAGAGAGAGAGACATATTCGCGGGCCTTCTTGCGGGGCCACCAGGCTGCAGGGCGGACCAAAACAGGCATTTTTACCACGCCCCAATCGTATTGTCTGAATTGCTGGGGTGGGTGGAAAATGACACCCCTCATGCAGATCGGCAGTGTCAGGGTCCAAAAACAAGAGGGTTACCCCTCTCGCAGATCGGCGGGGTCAGGGTCCAAAAACAAGGGGAAATTGCCACATGTCCAAAATCCGGCGGCACCCCTCACGCAGATCGGCGGGGTCAGGGTCCAAAGACACGGGGGATGTGCCACATGTTTAAAACTCGGCGGCACCCCTCACGCAGATCGGCGGGGTCAGGGTCCAAAAACAAGAGGGAGTTGCAACATTTTCTGATACCCCTCTCGCAGATCGGCGGGGTCAGGGTCCAAAAACAAAGGGAAGTTGCCACATTTCCAAAATCCAGCGGCACCCCTCACGCAGATCGACGGGGTCAAGGTCCAAAGACACGGGGGATGTGCCACATGTTTAAAACTCGGCGGCACCCCTCACGCAGATCGGCGGGTTCAGGGTCCAAAAGCACAAGGGCTTTGCCACATTGCTGAAATCCGGTGGCGCCCCTCACGCAGATCGGCGGGGTCAGGGTCAGAAAAACGCAAGGAAGTTGCCACATTTCTGAAATTCGGTGGCACCCCTATCACACCAATCGGCGGGGTCAGGGTCCAAAAACACTTGGGATGTGCCACATTTCTGACATTCGGTGGCACCACTCACGCAGATCGGCGGGGTCAGGGTCCAGCTATCCTGGCGAAGGACCCAACCATATGCAGTTGTGAGCACCGCAGTTGTGAATATCTTCTTCGGTGGTGCCCGCGAACCGTATGAGGGGCGTGCCGAAATGTGGCGGGGTGCACAACACGAAGGAAAACGATGTGTCTACTTACGAGAGACTGAGCGTGGGCGAATCTGAGCGCGAGTGAGTCTAAGTGTTCATGAGTCTGCGCGCGAGTGAATGTATTTGCTCGAATACGATCATGGCTACGCCTCGTGTAAATGAATGGTTCGGCAATGCCTCTGTCCACCAGGCCACTCCCCCACAGCCATTTTACAACGACCACCGCGAGAACAACGGAAAGATCCTCGCTGGTGGGATGGAATCTCCCGCGAATGCAAAGCAACATACATACGGGAGGCAGCGGGCCTCCTCCTCCTCCTCCTCCGCCTTCTCCTTCTCCCCAGCCAGGTCTGGAGCTGTTTCCTGAAACCTTGAATGTGGCGGGCGCATGGTGGCGGTGGCATTGGCGCCTTCGGTGGAGCCCCCTTGTGGGGCCAGGAAGCGTGTGAGGGATGTGCCGAAATTCGTGTGGGGGGCGCATGCGGGCAGTGGCACTGGGGCTTTCGGTGGAACTCGCTATGGGGCCACGGAACGTGTGAGGGGTGTGCCAAACTTTGGTGTGGGGGACGCATGTGGGCGGTGGCACTGGGGCCTGCGGTGGAACTCCCTATGGGGCCACGAAACGTGTGAGGGGTGTGCCGGAATCGGTGTGGGGGACGCATGCGAGCGGTGGCACTGGGGCCTTCGGTGGAGCTCCCCTTGGGGCCACTAAGCGTGTGAGGGGTGTGCCGAACTGGGTGTGGGGGACACATGCGGCCGGTGGCACTGGGGGATTCGGTGGACCTCCCTGTGATGCCACGAAACGTGAGGGGTGCGCCGAAATGGGTGTGGGGGGCGCGCAGGGGGGGTGGCACTGTTGCCTACGGTGGGGCTATCCATGGGGCCACGCAATTTGTCAGGGGTGTGCCGAAATGAGCGTGGGGGGCGCATGCGGGCGGTGGCACTGGGGTCTTCGGTGGAACTCCCAATGGGGCCACGGAGCGTGTGAGGGGTGTGCCGAATTTTTCGCGGGGGGCGCATGCGGGCGGTGGCACTGGGGCCTTCGGTGGAGCTCCATTTGGGGCCGCGAAACGTGCGAGGGGTGTGCCGAAATCCGTGTGGACGCATGCGGGCGGTGGCACGGGGGCCTTTCGGTGGGACTCCTTATGAGGCCACGAAACGTGTGGGGGGGGTGCCAAACTGGGTGTGGTGTGCGCATGCGGGCGGTGGCACTGGGGCCTTCGGTGGAACTCCTCATGGGGCCACGAAACGTGTGAGGGGTGTGCCGAAATGGGTGTGGGGGGCGCGCGCGGGCGGTGGCACTGATGCCTACGGTGGGGCTATATATGGGGCCACGCAATTTGTTAGGGGTGTGCCGAAATGGGCGTGGGGGACGCATGCAGGCGGCGACGAGGGGACCTTCGGTGGAACGCCCTATGGGGCCACTAAGCGTGTGAGGGATGTGCCGAAATGAGCGTGGAGGACGCGTGCGGGCGGTGGCATTGGGGCCTTCGGTGGAGCTCCCTATGTGACCACGCAGCGTGTGAGGGGTGTGCCGACATGGGTGTCGGAGACGCATGCAGGCGGTGGCACTGGGGCCTTCGGTGGAAATCCCTATGAGGCCACGAAACGTGTGAGGGGTGTGCCGAAATGCGTATGGGGGACGCATGGGGCGGTGGCACTGGGGCCTTCGGCCGAACTCCATATGGAGTTACGAAACGTTTGAAGGGGTGTGCCGACATGGGTGCGGGGGACGCATGCGGCCGGTGGCACTGGGGCCTTCGGTGGCGCTCCTTGTGAGGCCACGAAACGTTTGAGGGGTGTGCCGAAATGCGCGTGGGGGACGCATGCGGGCGGTGGCACTGGGGCCTTCGGTGGAGCTCCCCTTGGGGCCACGAAGCGTGTGAGGGGTGTGCCGAAGTGTGTTTGGGGGGCGCATGCGGGGTTGCACTGGGGCCATCGGCGAAGCTCCATTTGGGGCCACGAAACGTGTGAGGGTGTGTCGACATTCGTGTGGGGGACGCATGCGGGCGGTGGCACGGGGGCCTTCGGTGGGGCTTCCTATGAGGCCACGAAGCGTGGGAGGGGTGTGCCGAACTGGGCGTGGGGGGCGCATGCGGGCGGTGGCACTGGGGCCTTCGGTGGAACTCCCTATGGGGCCACGAAGCGTGTGCGGGGTGTGCCGAAATGGGTGTGGGGGACGCATGCGGGTGGTGGCATTGGGGCTTTCGGTGGAAATCCTTATGGGGCCACGAAATTGGTGAGGGGTGTGCCGCATGTGCGTGGGGGACGCATGCGGGCGGTGGCACCGGGGCTTTCGGCGGAGCTCCCTATGGGGCCACGAAGCGTGTGAGGGGTGTGCCAATATGGGTATGGGGGACGCATGCTGGCGGTGGCACTGGGGCCTTCGGTGTAGCTCCCCATGGGGCCACGAAACGTGTGATGGGTGTGCCGACATGGGTGATGATGCAGGTGATGATGACGGTCGTGCTGATGATGACGATGATGATGATGACGATGATGATGATGCTGATGGTGGTGATGATGATGATGATCATGAGGATGACGATGATGATCATGGCGATGATGACAGGAGGAGAGAGGAAGGTGGGGCTGAGGAGGGCGAGGAACGCGGGGCGACGTCTCTTTAAAACAAAAACCCAACACCACAGGATGGTTGGGGCAAAACGTGGACATGGGGGATTTTCAATATTTCTAAAATCTAGCGGAACCCCTCGAACAGATCGGCAGGGTCAGGGTCCAAAAACACAAGGGAGTTGCCACATTTCTGAAACTCGGCGGCACCCCTCGCGCAGATCCGTAGGGCCAGGGTCCAAAAGCGCAGGGGATTTGCCACATTTCTAAAAACCGGCGGCGCCCCTCACGCAGATCCGTAGGGGCAGGGTCAAAAAAAAACAAGTCCCGACGCTGCTTCACGGCGAAGCCAAGCCTCATGACTTCGCCCCTTCCACGGCCCATTCTCCGAGAGAGGGGGCCCGCGGCAGGGGGCGAAGCCTTTGCGGGTGTGTATACACACATATATATATAGACATACATACATACACACATGCATATATATATATATATATATATATATATATATGTGTGTGTGTATATGTATATACATACATACATACATACATATATATATATATATATATATATATATATATATATAATATACACATATATGTATAACGCGAGAGAAAGACATGTTGAGAGAGAGAGAACTGATGATCTTGGCGAAGGACCCAACCGTGCGCACTTGTGAGTGCCGCGTCGTGGGCGCCGCTCTCGGTGGAGCTCCCTATGGGGCCACGACCCTCGCGAGGGGTGTGCCCATGTGGGCGGGGGGCCGCACGCGGACCATGCCGCGGAGGCCTTCGGTGGAGCTCCCTATGGAGCCACGCTCCTCGTGATGGGTGCGCCGAAATTGGCGGGGGGGCGCGCGCGGGCCCTGCCGCTGGCGCCTTCGGAGGAGCTCCCCATGGGGCCACGACCCCCGTGAGGGGTGTGCCGGATGGGCGGGGGGGGCGCGTGCGGACCTTGCCGCGGGTGCCTTTTCTAGCTGCGCCCTCGGCTCGCGCGGCGCGAGCTCGGTTCTGGAGTGGCCCCGGGGCGCGCGCCGTCACCGGGGGCGCCCGCGCGGGGCGCCCACCCGGCCGCGCCAGCCCCAAACGGGGCCAGATCACCGCAAGCACCCCCCTTGACACCGCCGCTACCGCAGAGGCCGAGGCTGACGAAAGCTCGACTTGCTCCACTGAGGTCTGCGGCGTCACCTGGGGCACCCCAGCGGGGCACCCTCCAGGCTGTGCCACCCTCCAAGGAGGGCAATCCACCGAAGCCACTCCTTCAGGAGCAGAGGCGGAGGGAGCCACCAGGCGCAAGGCGCGCCACCCGCGAGCGCGGGCTAAAAGGCGCTGGCAGGCCTCCAGCTCGCGGACTCCAGCATATGCGGAAGCTGCTCGCTGAGCCGAGGCTCGTAGTCAGCCGCCTGGCGAAGGAGGCCGTCGGCCACCAAGAAGACCTCCTCAGGGCCGACCACCGAGGCCGCAGCCCCGCCAACAGCAGGCGCCGCCACCGCGGGCGCCACACCCAGCTCCGCCGCGGCCTTCGCCCGAGGACGCCTGGGCCCGCGCCGCCGCCGCGCGGCTCCGTCGGCCTGGCCGTCGCTCCCGCGGCCGCACCCCGCAGCACCAGCAGCTTCTGTAGCTCCGCGAGCTGCATCCGCCGCCTCCGCCGCGGCAGCGGCCCCGTCCGAGGGAGGCGGGCGGGCCTCCGCGGCAGCCGCAAACGCCACCCCATCGGGGAATCGCACGAGCCCGTCGGCCCATGCGTCGTCGAAGTCCTCCATTTCCGTGTCGGCAGCCTCCGCCGCCACGGCGGCCACGGGGGCGAGCGCGACGCCCGCACCAGCAGCGGCAGCAGCCGCTCCTGCAGCCTGCCCAGCGCCCTCGCCTGCGGCTGCAGGGGGGGCCGCGGCGGCCTCCCGCGCCGCGCAGCACTGTCGGCGGCGCCGACGCCGAGCGGCGAACGCCGTCGGGTCGGCCGCAGCAGCACCTACGCGGCCCGGAACACCAGGACCAGGCACAGGAGGCGCCCCGGCGCCAGCGGCGGCGGCGGGCGGTGGCGGCGCCGCGACGGCGAAGGCCGCCGCCGAGACCGCTGACCGCGCAACCGCCGCCACTGTGCGCCTCGGCGCCCCGAGCGCCCCGCGCACAGCTGCCTCGACTAGGCGGGCAGCCGTCACGGGATCCAGAGCCCATCGAGGCAGCGCCATCACACGGACGGAGGCGCGGCCGTGCGAACGCTTGAGCCAAAATGGCTACGGAGTGCCGCGGGTGCCTTCGGAGGAGCTTCCTATGGGGCCACGATCCTCGTGAGGGGTGTGTTCACATGGGCGGGGGGACGCATGCGGACCTTGCCGCGGGTTCCTTCGGTGGAGCTCCCGATGGGGCCACGAAACGTGTGAAGGGTGTGACGCATGCGGACCCTGCCGCTTGGGCCTTCGGTGGAGCTCCCTGTAGGGCCACGATCCTCGTGAGGGGTGTGCGGAAATGGGCGGGGGGACGCATGCGGACCCTGCAGCTGGGGCCTTCGGTGGAGCTCCCTGTAGGGCCACGATACTCGTGGGGGGTGTGCCGAAATGGGCGGGGGGACGCATGCGGACCCTGTCGCTTGGGCCTTCGGTGGAGCTCACCAGAAGGCTACGATCCTCGTGAGGGGTGTGCCCACATGGGCGGGGGGCCGCATGCGGACTATGCCGCGGAGGCCTTCCGTGGGGCTCTCTATGGGGCCACGCTCCTCGTGATGGGTGTGCATATATGGGCGGGGGGCCGCGTGCGGACCCTGCCGCGGAGGCCTTCGGTGGAGCTCCCTATGGGGCCCAGATCCTCGTGAAGGGTGCCGAAATGCGCGGGGGGACGCATGCGGACCCTGCCGCTGGTGCCTTCGGTGGAGCTCCCGATGTGGCTACGATCCTCGTGAGGGGTGTGCGGAAATGGGCGGGGGGACGCATGCGGACCCTGCCGCTGGGGTCTTCGGTGGAGCTCCCTATGGGGCCACGATCCTTGAGAATGGTGTGCCGAAATGGGCGGGAGGACGCATGCGGACCCTGCCACTGGGGCCTTTGGTGGATCTCCCTATGGGGCCACGATCCGTGTGAGGGGTGTGCCAGAATGGAATGGGCATGCGGAGAACAAAGGCAAGGGATGGGAGGAGGAGGAGGAGGAGGAGGAGGAGGAGGAGGAGGAGGAGGAGGAGGGAGTGGAGGAGGAGGAGGAGGAGGAGGAGGAGGAGGAGGAGGAGGAGGAGGAGAGGAGAGGAGAGGAGAGGAGAGGAGAGAGAGGAGAGGAGAGGAGAGGAGAGGAGAGGAGAGGAGAGGAGAGGAGAGGAGAGGAGAGGAGAGGAGAGGAGAGGAACGCGGGGACCGTCTCTTCAAAACAAGACCCAACCTCACAGGATGGTTGGGAAAGTAAAGGAACCAACACATAGAACGAGACGTATACCACCCCCCACCCACCACCAACCACACCTTTGCATCCCAAGAATACTGAAATGAATCCATTCTGGTGTGCGCGATCGGGGCCATCAAAACACCCTGGTCAGCCCACTCTTGTGAAACCCATATACGCATTGCTTGCTGCATCGCGGTGATCATGGGTCAATTAAAGGAGACGCGCCTACCCCGCACTACACAAAACAACCGCTCTGGCGGAGAAAACCACACAATCTGAGCGTGAACAAGTCCATGGCCGCACCGTTGCGAACTGCCCTCTGGGGGCTCACGTGCCATGGTGGTGCATCGCGATGACCACGGAGCCCTGGAAAAAGGGTCACGCATTCCCCTTCCCCCAACACCCGCACGGCCACTGGAATTACGCAAGATGTCCCGACAATTTGGGCCTGGACGGGCCGCAATAACACTGTGGTCGTCCCCCGTTGCACGGCTCACGTGGCATGCCTGGTACACCGCGACGATCATGGGGCTATGGGCTGATCCCCTGCCCTGACGAAGCGGCAATTGTACATGATAAGTCAACGCTATGGGCCCGAAAGGGCCCGTGTTCCGCCACCGTGCCGCTGGGCACTGAGTGGGCGTGTCCTCAGGTCCTTTGCCAAATCCACTGAGCCGCAGTCCTCCGCCGCGAAAAATCTTTTAGGAACCGGGACCCCAAATTCTCAAATCGTCCAGGGTTTGGCGCGCTTCCCGTGGGCCTTGGATCGGCCCTTCCGGGGCGGCGCCAAAAGACTCCGATAACGGTCCAATATGGCCTCGCCCATGATTGCCTCAAGACTAGCCCCGACGCCTCCAAAACGCCCCAGAAGGCCTCCCAAGAGGCACGACGCATTGTTATCACATAGGTTTTTGACTGATTGTTGCCTCCTCGCCTTTGGGACTGCCCGACGCCCCACGACTGCCCAGGAGGCCCTCAACATCGCCCCAAAACAGCCCCAGAAGGCCCCAAGACAAGACGGCCCAAAGGGCACCAAAACAGCCGAAGAGGCGCCCAAGACTGCCCAAGAGGGCCCAAAGACGACCGCAACAGGGGTCCCAAATGGAGATCCCGGAAGACCATGTCGAACCCTCGACGCCGAGGGGCCCCCAAGAGGCGTCCAATTGGTCGCAAGAGGCCCCCAAGATGCCAGCAAGAGGCCCCAAAAATTGTCCCCAAGAGGACCCGGAAGGCGTTCCGAAAACACATACAAACAGAAAGCGTACGCCCAAAGGCGTGCCGGCAGGCGTTACATGAAGGACGAATTCGCACATGACTAACAGAAGAGGACGCACGAAAAATGGGAGGGACGCGCGACGAGCGGGGACGCGAGGCGAGGCGGAGCGAGCAAGCGAGGGACGAACGGCAAGGGAGGACGAACGAGGACACGCGAGAGGGGGATGAAAACTGCGCGCGCTGGCGACAGCCAGTTAAGGCGCATGCCGCGTTCACCAGCTATCTCCAGATATGCTCGTCTTGAATGAAAATTCCTATCTGCGATTTCCCCCACCGACTTGGGCGACGCGCGGTTGTAAATTTTGGCCTCCCACACGTGCGGACGCATCGACCTGCCCTGTGCTGCCGCGTGCCGGGAGTGAAGATTGGATCCCTCAGCGGGCAGCCCGCTTGTCCCCTCGCTACTGTACCGAACATGAATCAATTGTTTCGCAATCTGTTTTTTACCTAACAGCGAAGACTGATAGGTTTCTACTGGGGTCAAAAGAGAACAGCAAAAGATTACTCCACAGGGGGGTCCGGGCGGCATCCGGGGAGCTGGGTCCGAAGTCGTTTTTTCGTAAACAGTCACACACTTCGTGCTCTTCGACCTCCCAGAACTCCATTCCCGGGCCACATTCTGAATGCCCGGAGCCAACTGTAAGCCACTTCGTGCTATTAACCTTCCCAAAACTGGATTCCCGGGCCACATTTTGAGTGCCCGGAGCCAACTGTGGGCCACTTCGTGCTCTTCGACTTCCCAGAACTCCATTCCTGGGCCACATTCTGAATGCCCGGAGCCAACCGTAAGCCACTTCGTGCTCTTAACCTTCCCAAAACTAAATTCCCGGGCCACATTTTGAGTGCCCGGAGCCAACTGTGGACCACTTCGTGCTCTTCGACCTCCCAGAAGTCCACTCCCGGGCCACATTTTGAATGCCCGAAGCCACCTGGACGCCACTTCGTGCTCTTCGACTTCCCAGAACGCTACTCCCGGGCTCCATTTTGAATGCCCGGAGCCAACTGTTGGCCAATTCGTGCAGCAGGACGAGGAGGACAAGGACCAGCAAGAGGGCGAGGAGGAGGAGGAGGAGGAGGACGAAGAGGACGAGCCGGAGAAGGAGGACGAGCAGGAGGAGGAGGTGGAGGAGGAGGAGGACGAGCACGAGGAGGAGAGGGCGGCCGGCTGCCCCGGCTGCCTGCCCCGGCCGGCTGCACGAGGAGGAGGAGGAGGACGAGCAAGACGAGGAAGACGAGGACGAGCAGGGAGGAGGAGGAGGAGGAGGAGGAGGAGGAGGAGGAGGAGGAGGAGGAAGAGGAGGAGGGGAGGCCGGCCGGCTGCCCCGGCCGGCTGCTTGCCCCGGCCGGCCGCGCCTGCGCCCGGCCGCGGGGTGCGGTCACGGGAAGGGGACGGGGGCGGGCGGTCAAGGTTGATACCCCCTCCTCGCTCCTTCCACTGCCTGCTCGCAGCAGGGCGGTGCGCGTTTCAGGATTCTCCAACAGACACACAAAAATAGGCCTCTCATATGTGCGCGCCGACATAGGGCGCCGCATGTGCCTGGTCCAACACGCGCGGTGCCCCCGGAGACGCGCTCCTGTCCTGCTGTGCCTTTCTGGCGATGGCATCGGAAGACCCAACCGCAACCTTACCACACTTGTTGCAAGTGAATGGGATGAGGCTCGAGGAGCCGGAGCCCGCCGACTCTGTCGTGGAGAGCAAAGGCGAGCGCGTATTCTTCACCACTACTGCCCGCGATTTCAGTGGCTCCTGCAAAGCTGCCGTGTCCCAGGCGGCGGCCTTCGCCTTGACTGGTATTGATACCATGTCCGAGTTCCAGAAGGTCCACGATGAGAGAGCTATCTCCTTCCCTCCTTTGAGCAACTGCCGCATAATACGCCGCGTGCGCCATGTGGCTGCGAGTGAAGACGATGACACGCCTAAGCGGACGCTTGTCAACACGACTGTGGTTGCAGCATATCCGCTCCAGATATCGCACGCTCCCAATACCTCTTACCATGTCGTCTTGGAGATCCTGAAGCAGTGCCGCGAGAGCCAGGATGCTATGCTCGCCGCGCACCTTTCTGAGATACGTCACTGCCCCTTCTACGGCATGCGGGTGGAGTATCCCCCGGCGGGTAAGAGGGGTGACGCTTCTCAGCTTGCCCGGAACTGCCGCTTGGCACTGGCTCTTGTTCGCGCCACGCAGAAGTCGCGGTGCGCGTCCACTGCGGGTGGCTTCGTCGTGTCTACACCAAGTGTCACGGACGCATCTGGCGATGAGAACTCACGCGCAGTGACGATTCACGGGCATTGCTCCGTAGACAACTTGCTCTCCTTCCAAATGGGCCCGCCCAACAGAGCGAAGCATAGAGTCTGCCTGTTGCTCATTACAGGCAGTTCAAAAGATGGTATCGCGGTGCGCAGCGTAACTCACATTGACGAGGCCGCAGTGACAGAGGCGCAGTACTTCATCAAACAAGTGAGAACACTGGGGATGCGCACAGAGCTCCAGCAATCTGGCGACCACAAGCGGATGAATGAGTGGAGCAAAACGCCCGACTCCGCCAAGAAGTGCAGAATCCTCGAAGGCCACCCGCCAGGAGAAAGCTTGAAATGAGTTGCTGATGTCTTGTCAGCGATGCTTCTCAG